CAGCCCTGATGCTACAAATGAAATCGATCTGATCGATGGTCATTTTCGTTGGAAATAATTTGTCACATCATTTTTATGTGACAATTTTATCACAAGGTCAAAAGCCAAGGCATACATGATGGAGCGCGTTGGATAAGACTTTATTATGCATTTCAAAGCAAGGTGATACTCTAACAGAATTCAAGTGATTCATATAGAGAGCGCAAAGTACGTAAAACTTAGCGTGCAATCTCGTTGCCACAAGCTTCTAGACAGAGGTTGCGCCGATCATTATCCAATCAAATTCTCGTGAAAGTCCCAATTTTCGTGCTCTTGCTTCAAAGCGTCGACTACTGACCAAAAATTCCCGCATTTCTCCCCTATCAATGCTCTCATATACTGTATCCTGCTCATGTTGCTTTCGTACTCCGCTTGCATTCTAGAATGCAGGTCCACAATCCTCTGATCAAAGTCTTCCTCGGCACCCATCTTGATGCAGGAGAGTGGTGCAGAGTCGCTCTCAAGCGCCGACTCCTGGTTGGTTATGATGATGGGCATTCGGTTCCTGTCGAAAAGTAGGATATCGACATCTCGGTACTAATATCAAGTATAAGGTGCAGATTACGGCAAGACACGAGTCCAGATGAGCATTGATAAACGGCGCCCACAACAAGCCTTCAAACTATTTCAGAATCTAAGAGATATCAGAGTGAGCCGCAGAATCCCGCAAAGGGAGTACTTGAAGGGCACAGTGGCAGCAATCACCCAGAAAGTCTGTCGACACGCTCTAAGCCGAGTGAGCACCCTAAGAAAGGACATAGGCAAAAATAGAACACGCTCACCTCTCGACACTGTCGATGAGATGCTCTTTGGAGTCGCGCCCCGGGCACTTCAGCTCAAGTTCCACCCGAAAAGGATCCATGCAAAATTGGATCAGTATCTTGCAGTCTCTACAGGCGCAGGCGCTCGCGGTTGGGAGGACCCACACATCGAGCGGGGGGGGTTTCACACAGCGGTTCTCGAGGGCGTCAAGGCACCCCCAGTACAGTTTCAGAAACCAGGAGCTGTCCTTGTAGCGGCTTCCTAGATATCGAAGAAGCTGCTCAACGGCAGGGAGAAGGGTGACCTCTAAGTTGTGGAGTTTTGGAGTAACGAAGAACTGGGCAACGACAGCTTCCATCCTCTCGCTGCTGAATGCTAAGCGGTCGAGGGTTGCCATCAGATCGCTGACGAAGTTGGAGCTGCGCGCACTTGGTGGAGAACACCCCAGTTTAAATAGTGGGTCCTCTTCGGAGAGCAAGACGTCGACTAACCTGCCCGCAAAGTACTCCTGAAACCTAATGGCCACGACTAAGAGCTTCCTGACGTAAGGAACTTGCTGAGGGTCGCAACTATTTGTTCGCTCTAGTTCGCTCCCCGCCGCTGCGAGATTCGAAACAAAGGCGACCGCCGCTTCTCGGTTGGCGAGTGACTCTCTGACAAATCTCTCGGTTGCGGGCGCCCACACATCTTACCCGAATCGCTCGATGACCTTCAGATACTGGCCGGTCACTTGAAAGCTCCCAGGGCCGAACATCGTTTCGGAGCTGTTGAAACTCAGAAGGGCAGGTGTTTGGGCGCCACAGATCTTTGCCACGACCGCTTCCATAGCTTGTCGAGACACTTCTGCTCGCTCACTGTCAGGCTGGTCCAAATCGTGACCCTCAACGGATTCGCCTCCTCGGAAGAGCTTGTCGAAACCTCGTTCCGTTGAGTCCGTAACTGAGCCAGATATCGCCGTGCCAGTCCCGTGCAGTTCGCTCGCTTGTTGGGGGGGAGCGATTTCACACAGTAGCAAGAGGCCGCGTTCGAAGACAGGAGGAGAAAATGATCGCAGGGCGGCGCCTACGATGAGGGGTCCCAGAGTCTTCCAACCAAAACGGGCTGCGAGGGAAGCAACGACGCCGTGCTCGTATTGCGGGCTGACGTACCCTTGGAGGAAAGCCTGCAATCCATTGAGGGGAGGAAATTGAGCCCGAGATCTGTGTTTAAAACGTCAGCTCTTGAAATGCTAAGCAAATCTGGGCGTGTTGCTAAGGAACAGAAGTTGGTAGACAGCAGAATCATCGGCTTCCAGAGGAGCGCATCTGCGGACGAGCTCGTTATAGGGCAATTTACCGAGTCAGGTATGCTTACAGATGGGAAGAATCCTTTTCGGGACAGCAGCAATATCTCGTAGACTCCTCGGGATCAAACAGCAAGCCTCAGAATTTCTCTCACCTTCGCTAGCTCCACGTCACCGTGACGGATGACCAGGTGAACCAGTTGACTCGCCGGCTGGCCAAAGAGCCGGCCAGCTGCGTGCACGGCCAAAGCCTTCAGAGCACGGGACAGCTCTGTCACGGCATAAACTTGACCGTGCTCGAGCACCAGGTCGGCCACAGTCTGGGATTCGCCGGGAGAGAAGCGGCCTGTGCTCAGGCAAGCAGCCTCGAGAAGCCGCGGCAAGGCTGCTACAATCTCGGACAGCGAGGCGGCTTCCTGCAAAGACATAGCAAATTATGATGAAAGACATTAAGTGTCGCTAGGTGCATTCAAACAAAACTGCTGCGAGAGGATCACATTGACCGTTTCTTGCATCGGCTTCTGTTGCTTTAGCGAGAGCGAGAAGGAAAATCAGGTCCAATACCAAAGCGGAAAAGCAGAGCCTCGCGTAAGACTTTTGGCCAGAACGATGTCGGCGGAGTGGAAAAACGGCGACTACTCACCGCAAGCGCTGCCCCCGCACAATTGGTACTGCGCACCTCCCAGCGGCTGGTGTGCGGCCAGATCACAACTGCGGCCTTACGGGATACGTTGAACTCATCCAGAAACCCCGGTTCTGCGTCATCCGCAGAAAGGTAGGGAGCAGTCCCAGGAATCAGCTCTGCAAAAGTACGCCCTGTTCAAGATTGGTTTTGCTTCTCAGTAGGACTACTGGAGGGATGGCCAGGCCACTTCTTTCCTCCACTAAACTGCAGGCGGTGTTCACGGTGTGCCTCGTCAAAAAGAAGCATACAGATATCAAGGTAAAAAGATGAGGAAAGATGAGGAAAGACCTTGAAGATAAAGATGGAAGCAGTGTAGACTCCGCTTGCAACCATGGCGAGCTTGTTTCAAAAGCCGACCATCGCAAATGAATGCGAAGCATAGCCCGGTGTGCAGAATCTGCGTAATCGAGGAAAACAGAGTGAGGTTTTGAAAAGCGGCTCTTACCCTCAAGGTTGACTTCAAGACGATAGTACCACTCCTGCTGTCCCTCGCAGCCTCTTACGTCCGTGAGTTCCATTGGAGGGCTCTTCTCTTGCGGGAAGCTGGAATAGCCTCTTTGCAGCAGACCGATGTAGGGGTGGAAAAGTTGACCCCCAGGGACCTACGGAGGAGCGAGGTTCCCTATGTTCTCAGCGAGGTGTAGAACAGATGATGCCTTTCATTCATTGAAGCTTTCAGAACGCAGACCCTGTAGAAGGGTGATTCATTTGTTGTCTCGAGGCGAGAATTTGAGAGAGGGAAGCCTTTTAAGGAAGAGCAATATAGGCCTGTATTTCGATGTAGTATACCAGGCACTGCATGACTGATGTGCCTGCTCGATGCAGGATTGTTTCCAAGCTTGACTCTATACGTTCGCTTACTTTGGAAGCTTGCAGCAAAGCGTCGACTGTCGCAAGATCTGTCCCCTGGAGGCTTTCGAAGGACAAGATGCTGTCGGAGTACAGGTGCGTGAGTGGGATCACGAGCTTCTGAGGCCCACAGCTGTCTTGGCTCCAGTCCCTCATCAACTCTCGGATTGTTCTCACAGCTCTATTGTTATCAGCGGGCTGTGGGACACAGGCGAACCCCTGCCAAAGCACGTACGAAGAAGTTTAGGCTATTCAGAAAAGGGAAAAGAATGCTCCACTAAGGATAGTACTTGAGCTTTTCCTTGAAGTATTTGTTTGCAAGTTTGGTGGTCAATAGAGGGATTGCACGAGACGGCTCCGAAAAGCCAAGTGCAGAGGATACGACTTGGAAAATTCGCCACACTATGTGCAAGTTGAAGCACGCTTTTGATCTACTTGTCAGTTGAGCCCAGCAAGGAAAGCATAAAACTTTGTTCGTTGCAGAAAGGCATAACGTCTAATCCATGTCAACGACCCGTGATACCAGGTGAAAGGCCATTCAGCGTTGATGCGTATGGCACAGAAGCAGCTGTAGGCTTTACCTCAGCAACAAGGTCGTAGATGAGCGCCAGAAGAAATCCGGTTCGGACCGGCAGGACCTCGTGCTCACAGTTGGCAAAGAAGGCCGCATAGCTGATGTTGTAGAAGCCGTCTCTTGCAAAGTCGAATGTACTTTCCTGACCCCAATAGCGCACGACCAACTCTCCTGGAGAACCCAAGAGTTGTTTCACAAGCTTTCAAGGGGTTTTTAACTCCTTATTTGCGATGAAATTTGCCCAATTGTCAGCATGCAACGTTCATCAGGGGAGAACGACATGCCAAACTTCGAAATATGGAAAACAGTCTTGGAAGGCAGAATCCGCCAAAGGATTGCAAAAATGCATTGATTGGACAGCCAGCTGTCATGGATGACTTACCTCCTGCACGAGCTGTTGGGAGCACAATCATCAGAGTACCAAAAGAATCGTCGGCCCTTTTCTCCTTGTCCCAGTAGTGACCTTTGGCGAAGCCACCAGCATCGTACAGAAGGAGCTTGTTCAGCCTTGGTACCACCCTTGTTGACGTCGAAAGGCGTAATCCTGGTTTCACCCTCTCATTTACGATCTGCTTCACTTGGGTCTCCCAACCGAGACCTGCCAGGTTGAACTCCGTGGGTAAGAGCTGCAAACCTTGACCCCACGGGTAGTGGTCCCCAATCGCTGCTCTGCAAACCAAAGTAGGAGGACGATGTTTAAGATACAAAATAGACATATCTATTGAGTTGCTACAGATCCTTTTTGATGGCCAAACGTCTTCTCAAGCTTGAGGCAAGTAGAAGCCGGACAGCTACATCAGATGCTAAACTGAGCACTAGTAGCGGTGCTGATAGCACTGCTCTAGGAACGGGTTGACGATTTGAATACGAATGTATCCCCATGTATCACCAGGAGTTGGGTCTTTCATTCTTACCTTGGTCCTGCACGTGCTTGGGAAGCCAAAGCCTGCGCTTGCTGTTGAATGAGCGGTAAGCCGATGGGGCCAACTCCGGGGATTTCTAGTCCAGGAGGACTGCAGAATATCAACGAGCCACCACAGCTGAACGTGCCAGATCGTTTTACGCTTGTGAGAGCTGAGCGCAAGTCCTCGCGATAAGGGTCCTGGGGCCCTAAGAGAGCCTCCATCAATGTTTGCGTTTTTAAGCACTTGCACGCAATCAGAACAGCACGCAAAGAGCTGAGCACTGTGTTTGTTCAACAAAGGCGCGCTCCTCCAGTTAGTCTAATCGCGATTGCTATTCGCTACTGGTGTTCAAGTCCAAAACGTGTGCTTCTGCTGCCTGCTAGAGCCGGGACAAGGAGAATAAGTCTTCGCAGGATCGGAACCGGGGACACCGTTGGGAAGGTGGGGCCGCGGCCGCTGAGCTTTCCGCTTGTTCTGCCCGTCAGATGCTTCGAGACTCTCATCGGACGGTTCATATGACATTCCGGGTAGAACCTGCACAGGAGTTGTGCCTCCCATGGCACCTTGTTTCTGAGGTAAAGCTTAGAGGCCGTCAGATTTTGGTCTAAGGAAGCATCAAGGGCTGGGAGCACCGCCGTCGCACCAGACTCCGGTGCCTCGACTCCGTCCAACAGCGTGGCCCCGGTTCCGATCGTGCGAAGACTTATTCTCCTTGTCCGTGCTCTGCTAGTCTCACATTCTCGTAATGCTCCACTGTTCAAGTCGACTTGGTAGGCTCAGGTAGGCTTGCCAGTGCCATGATTACCTAAGTTCGTCGATCCCCGTCCGCGGCCGCCCGCGCCGTTCAGTGCTAAGAGGTCTGAAGGTTTAACACAGGTTATCATGGGCGGGGCTGCAGGCCGCAACTCAGATTCGCGGCGGCCTAGCGCGGCCTGTTCTACTAACAGCGGCGTCACCTTCGTTTGCGCTGATCCAGTCGACGAGCGTCAGGATTCATGACTACCTTTATACCGACAATGCGCCAAGATCTTTGCATGCAATCTCAATCATGACCTGCAGCTAAAGCATGTACATGCATGCAAATTAACCAGCTATATGACTAAATCGCGGTGATCGAACTTGGACCGGGAAAGCGCAGAATCTTCATGCGCAGATCCAATCACATACTACTCGAACTGTCACTGTGGCACGGCGCGTGGCATGACGTACCGCATGTGAGATGCAAACAAAAGCCGGCGTGCCACAATCAGGCGTCCTCCAAATCAGTCAGTGGCACTCAAGCATGTGCTTGACTATCTCTGAGCACTGCAGTCCGCCTGTGCCGCGCCGTTCATGGATTTTTGGAGGTCGCAAGGAAGTGTTCATGCAATCAAATGATGTCAAAGTTCAGCAGCACAGGCCCTGGCGCAGGTCGGAAGCTTGATGCGAACACGAGCATTAGAACATGAGACGCTGAAGATCCTCATAAGCTGGCAGGCCCGCCGGCTGCCCGTATTTTGGCCGATATCTTGCGTGACCTCCGGTCCGGTCATAAGAGCCGTCACAATGCCATTTATTTACCAGAACGACGAACTTGACGGAACGCGCTTAGAGAACAGGCACCTACAATCACAAAACTCTTGCAGTGGCATACGCGTGCAGAACAATTGGCACATCTGATCCCGCATCAATCAGCCACATAGACCCTCGTCCCTCCGACGAACGTTTGCAGCACCCTAGGCAGCTCGTCAAAGGCTTCCAACGGATTCCTATCCAGCACGACAAAGTCGGCCAGCTTTCCGACTTCCAAAGACCCCACTTCGTCTTCCCAGAAAGAGGCACGTGCCGCTGCGCTCGTATAACCAATCATTGCCTCCTCAGCGCTAAGTCTCTGCTCTGGCAGCCACGGCCGCGTCTCAGCTGAAGCGCCACGTGGCGTCCTGTGAGTGGCCGCGTGGATGCCGTCCAGAGCGTCCAGCGGGGTGACCGTCCAGTCAGAGCCCAGGATTAGGGGGACGCCCTTTCCGAGCAGGGTTTTGAAAAGGTACGACGACTTGGATGCGCGTTCCGTTCCGAGGCGTTTCTCCACGTAGCCAGCGTCGTCAATCAAGTGGTGCGGCTGTCAAGTAAAAGGACTCAGAGAATGATAAGGGTTCGGTCTGGATACGATACGAAGCACGGAGCAAAAAGACGGGCTTGGTGTTCCGGCCGCGATCACATTCACTAGTCAACCTCAGAAGCTTGAACGCAGGTCTGGTTCAAAGTCAACACGGCAAAAGTTTGGACAATGGTTTAAAATGGCCACGACAAGAAATGCCACCGTCTACGGCCCTCACGGGAGTCTGCCTGTCATTCTAGTGAGGCCGTCAGTGCTGCTCTGCCGATCCGCAGATGAGAAAGTTTCCTTTAGAAGCTTTGAGGAACTTTCTTGACCGATCAGCCAGCCTGGCTCACAAGCTACGACACAAAGAGAAAGCCATTGATTGACCGTTTCTTGGCGCCCGAACTCACCATCTTCTCCATCAACTGCAAAACCATTCTGACGATCGAGAAGAAAGTTTGGCTGCCCACCTGCATGGAGGCGGTGACCCGGTACTTTTGGAAGAGGTCGGGGGCTTCGGGAGACAGGTGCTGCGCGTGCTCGATTCGGTGCCGGTGGTCCCTGCAACGGAGCGACGGAAAACTTCGGATCTGGACCAAGACTAGGAGAAGATTCGAGTATCCTTTTGTGCTTGCTGAACATGGTGCAGAACTGCCTGAACGCTGTTTGGGCGGGCCACGGCGAGTGTGTTCCAACACAAAAGAGCGAAACTACGTGTTGCGGATTCACGCATTGTCCGGAACGCCGTGCGTTTCAGGCCTCCCGACAGCCACACTCAGCTTTTTCTCAGAGGCAAGGGCGGACCGGAGCAGTCCGAGGGTTACCGCGAGCTGGCACTTGAATCCACTCTTCTTATCTGGAAACTGCAAGGTCTGGCCACTGATGCGGGACCCATTAATGCAGAGACAGGAGCCCGGTGCACCGGTAAGGTACTCGACCTCCCTGCTTTCGATAAGAAAGCTCCTGTTAAAAGGGCGGGGTGTTCCTCACCTCAAGCCGTTCGTCGCTCTCGCCTGTCGGTACGCTCTCAGCACCCGGTCATTGGCAGCGTCCCCGATCGCGTGCACTGCCACCTGGAAAGATAGAAAGGGCGAAAAGGTCGCCTGAGGGACTCTACTATTCGGACTACACTTCAATTGGACTAGGCCTCACCCCGTGATTCGGGTTCTGTCCCATGACTGAGTCGCGACAATGGTTCAGCAGGGGGTTTCTCGAGCTTGTTCACGGTTTGGAGCACCAAAGGTCATTGAGGCACCACGAGAAAGGTCTAAGTACTGCTTATGACCGAATCTCTCCCAGAATGATGCTCGTTTTTTTCAGATATATACTGAAAGCTGGCAGGATCAAATAACACATATAGTAGCCACCTCTCGCTTATGTTCCATGCGCTGCTTACCTGCAGCTTTGCAGCGTCAGCGGCAACGACGTTCCGTAATAGCCAATCCTCTGGCGCGACAGCCAGGCCGTAGTTGGTGGGATCGTCAGCATATGTCTCGTGGAACAGCGCCGTCGAGGAACCAAGGGAGCCGTCCGCAAAAGCCTGCAAAAGGTCCCCAGAAACTTCATGCGCCAACTGGGGCAATCGAGCTCACTAACCAAACGAAAGAGCTTCACTGACCAAACGAAAGGCCTCGATAGGCAACCAGGTTTGTCTGTAGGCTTCTGTCGCCAGCTCTCTCGCTGTTAAGGTCAACATTCCTTCTGGGAAAAGTTTAGCTCAAGCGTGCAAGTTGTTGGGTTTCGCGAAACGAGTTTACGATGACCCAGGAAGGGAAGTAGAGGAGTCCGGAATCAAAAGCAAAACACTCATAATCCCGGTGAGAGCAACCAAAATCCCTTAGATTGACGAGTTGAGAGAGCGTGCAAGTGTGAGCCGTTCGGAGGGCCACCGGGCCGAACACGACATTCGCTGAATGACACAGGGACGTCTGAAATGCACCTTTGTCCAAGTCACTTGACTGGGGTAATTCGTTGAGGTCACAGGCCACGCACAGCGGGGCCTCACCTTGACACCTCCTATGTGCAGCCAGGGGCTGAGCTTTTTCCCCTTCTCCTTGATCTTCTGCGCCAGCCTCTCATGCGTCTCCAATGGTGTGAACGCATACACGCGCACCGTCATGTCACCAACGGCAGCAGCGGGCAGGTACACATCTGCACTAAGAGGCTGTTGTTCTGACGCACTCCTTGTCGTCGGAACGGAAATAGCTTGGCGGCACAAAGAGATTTGGTAAGGACGATTCAGATTCCACATTTTGCAGGACCGCCCACTGCCGGTACCAGATCGACAAGTGAGCCTTTGCGAGGTATTCAGTGACATCACCTCTGCCTAACAGAAGCTGCAAAGCAAGGAAGTCTCTGTCATCCAATTGAAAAGCAAGAAGACAATGGGCTTTCCTCTGACGTTCTGTGCCAGCAGTCAATCGGCTTCCCAAGAAGGTCTGCTAAAGGATGCATCTCGCGATCTGGTCTTCATCGTGGGCCGGCAGGAAAACAGGCAGACAGCCACCAACATCGGGGCTACCAAGAGCCCCGTATTCCTCCTCTGCATCCACTATCTTTCGACATTCATTGTCATCCCCATATAAGCTCAGACACTCGGTGGCAAAAAGCTCACCTTCTAGATCCGCCCAGACCTCCTCTGTGGTGCTCCCAGGGCCAAAGTTGCCAAAGTCGTGCACCCCCGTGATCCCATTCTTGTTCGCGTGCCGGCACGCGCGCTTCAGCGCCTCGCGCTTGTCTTGCAGGCTTGGGGGGGGGGTCACCGGAGACAGCAGATATATGGCCGAGTCTTTCAGCAGGCCGGTCGGAGCGCCGTCGGGACTCCTGACGATCGCACCCCCCTCAGGATCTGGAGTGTCCCCGTCTATGCCGGCTTTTTCCAGTGCGAGGCGGTTCGCCAGCCCCATGTGGCCGTCTAAGCGGGTTAGCCAGACCTGGAGGAAGGGGGTGGTGGTTGAGTTAAGAGTTACTGAAGCCGCGAGATTGTGCTGGGAAAGTTTGCAACCCGAGGGTGTGCTCATTTCAATGCCGCCTTTGAAGTCTTCCCCAAGCTGTCCCTGTAGTCAACACCGAGTTCGAAGGCACCTGATTGGTCAGAGGAATATTGCACCCTCATACTGAGGAGCTGAGCAACGCCGATTTAAAGAGATGCGTGCCCCTTTCTGTTAAACTTGACCATCAATGTTTTGTTTTCTCAGGAAGGATCGCACTCAGGAACACCCTGATAGAAGGCTGCTTCTGTGTTGGCAAGGGCCGCACCCCATAGAATTTAGTGGACCAGAACTTCCTTTGCAATCTGACCCTTGTATTTCCATCATTTCCGCTTGTGACTGAGGCACACGCGATCACCGTCACGCCAAGCGCAGTATCACCATAAAGTGCAAAGAAGGCTGTATGGTGCTATGCCACTCGCTCCGTGGCTGTTCCCACAGCTTACCGGACTCTCTGGCGCCACATCGTCGATCCACCGCATGTCCGGCAGCTCGCCTCCCCAGAGCTCGTGATCCCAGCCTCCTCCGAGAATCCATTCCCCTTCCCGCTTGTTTTCTGCGCCTCTTGACACCACCCGCTGAAAGCCAGCCCTGTCTTTCACGCCTGTGAAGTCAAGCCGTAAGAGCTGCAGGCGGAAGAACCAGCATCAGTGATTGTTTTAGGTGATTGAGAATGATTGTTTTGATTGAGTAGATACGACTTGCATAAAGAAGCACGACTGTCGCAATTTCACAAACCTCTGCCTGCCATGAAAGTGGAGCCAAAACTTAACCTCTTCCTACTGCATTGCAATGCTGATCGTTGTCGTAATCTGCACAGAAGGCAGTTTTCTTATGTTTTATTTAAAGGTGTTGTCTGTGACATGCAGACACCCAGCTCAACCTGACAAGTGAATTCACCTTGCTCCAAACACAAGAGTGCGACTAACCTGCAGTCCCCCTTGGATAAAGTGCACGTGCGAGTCGATGAAGCCTGGCGCCACAAAAGCGCCCTTCAAGTCCACCTCCAGTGTTTGCGCACCAGCGAGTTTGCTGGTGGTGGCAAAAGTCCCTGAGATTGTAACGCGCATCTCAGTAGCACTCTAAGACAAATACGAATGTTTTCCAAGCATGTTTCCAAGATATCACAGCCTACCACCATGTAACCAATCAAGGACGCTCTTCAAAGAAATACATTGTTGCAAGCCCGGCAAAGCTTCGCAAGCAGGTTCCAAGATGCCATCCAGCAGAACCACTTCCAACGAACAGCACACCACCAACCTGCTTTCAGTATCTGCTTGTCCTTCACCGCTATCGCCTCAGCCCACGGCCTATTTGGATCCGCTGTCCAAATGGTGGCGTTCCAATACAGGGCGTCTGCCTCTCCTTGCACAGCCTTTAGCAATGGGGCTGGTGTGTGCTCTTCAAACCAAGCGGGAACCGTGCGGCTCAATTCTCCCCACCCTGGACCATAAAATATTGTGACAACGATAGCAGCAATTGCGACATTTAGGGGAACCTTGTACATTGACTGCGCCATCTTCAAGAAGAGGGTTGAGTTGAAAAAAAAGAGAAATGCAACCGGCTACCTACCTAATATGGGACAGCAATACGGTAGGTGCCGCCTGAAAGTGAAATCCATTGTCAATTTGCCCTGCGATACATTTGCAGGCAGAATTGCCAAGCTTCAATTTGCAAGCTCCTTCAAAGGCCTGCCCGTGACAGCCAATCAGACGTCGTTGCGGACCACATGGGTTTCATGTGATCCACGTGGTAGGAATCATTGTCGGCCACCTCTTGTACGGTCGTCCTCACGGCCGGGGACGAGTCGCGGGCGATGTATGATCCCCGTCCCGTATTCGAAAGCGACCGGTAGAGCAGCCCCGGGCGTGAGGCGCAACAGCTGCCAGTGCCGAAGGAGCGTACATGTCAAAATACGGGATGTGGACATCTAGAGGTTCCTTGTCTGATGGAATTCAGACTCTATATAGGTAGAGGGAATGCAGTCTGAGGCTTGAGCCATGATTGTCAGACATGTGTCACTTGCCTCGATTGAGTCTTGAAGAAGTGACGTTGAGACTGGAAAAGCAGAAGTAGGCCATGGAGGATGGATCCGAGCTACCGTATACAGCTCCATGAAACGCGAGATACATTGTGATTTGTATCGATGTCGATTTTTGCAGTCTGCGGTAGCGTCTTGAAAACCCAGCAGCTGGCGATCGAGCAACAAGCAACAGAACTGCACTTGCACTGATCTGTATGGGGTGGAGCGCAGAGTCATAAAGTCATTTCCAAGCCTTAGAAGCTGTCACCAGAAATCGTTTGGAGAACAGCTGATCAGCTCATCAACACCAGAGCGCAACAACAGCAGAGCTAGTCCCGATCCGGCGTTGCTTTCAGGCAAAAGTTAGAACTGCACCATGGCTCCCAAGACTGTTGTTACCATGGGTACTTCTGGGTACATTGGGGTAAGCAGCTCATTGGCCCTGGCATTGCACTGCTGGTGAATCGCATCTGGGAGCCCTGATTTTATTGACTGACTTTGTCGACTAGGAGAGGCGCGATCACTTTCCGCTGTTGCAAGTTCTGGCTGCCTGCCAGACTTTTCATCATAGCAAGCTGGCATGGTCATTTGTCACCTTCTCGTTACACTTGTTCATATGTCACGTGTTACTTATGTCACGTGATATGATAGTCCAGAATCAGGGTCTTGCAATTGCATAATTGCCATCCTTGGTGAATATGATTTCAAAGTTATTCGCTCGCACAGATGTGGTCCCAGCCATTCATATTCAAGTGTTCAACCACACGCCTGGCGGCTGAAGCGCCTGCCGATCTTATCTGATTCTTTGTCCTCGCAGAAAGCAACGCTTGCCGCGCTGGGCTCCCCAGACTTCGCTGACAAGTTTGTGGTGAAGGCTGGAGTGCGCGATGTGTCCAAGGGACTGGGCGACCTAGCTCCCAACACAGCGCTAGTCGCCGCTGACTACAGCAAGCGCGAGTCCATGAAAGCTGCTTTCACTGGAGCGGATGTGGTGAGCCCGCCTGAAGCCATTCGATGTTAAGGTGGAGAAACCATATGCGAACCCACCATAGGCTGTCCTGCTGCACTAGGAGGGTTTTGGGAGATTTTGCAAGCTGCCAAGGAGCTTCTTTCCTCTAGGTGAACCTGCAGAGATGATCCGAAAAAAATGTGAGTCGTGAATCGCTTGAAGCCCCAACTGTGAAATCAAAGACTGGTCGGCCGTTTGGAAGTCTCTAGGAATGTCGCTCCTGGGGTGTGCAGGTGATCCTGATTGCTCCTGGAGTTGAGAACCGGACGCAGCTGCTCATCAGCGCCCTGGAGGTGGCCAAGGAAGTTGGCGTGCCCTTTGTCATCCTGTTCTCTGTTCCTACTGTCCAGAGCGCATACGGTGAGTTGCACATATTGAGCAGAATGTCTTTGAAGGTCGGGCATACACTCTCCTGTAGCAGGAAAGAAACGAGAAAAGCTTTTGACGTCTCTTGATGCCAACATGCCTGAGTTGTTTATTGAGTACTGGTGGTCATAAATGAAAGAGCTCAGGACCAGGGGGAAGGGAGGTCCGCTTTGGGCTTTGATTCAAACCTTGTCCGAGCGTGTTTGGATCAGTACCTTTCTGCTCTTTTGAGCCTTGGCGTGAGGCTTCTGAAATGGATCAGTGTAAGCGACGCCAGAGCATCTGTGAACCTGGCGTCAGTTTTGCTCTCTGGGTTGAGGCCATGTGAACGTTAAGAAAAACTGGCTTGCACATAGAGGGGGCCGCTCATGTTTTGCATTCGTGACTTTGCAGGTCGCTTCGGGTCTGACTTCCTTCCCATTGAGCAAAGGGCCAAAGACCTGGGCCTCCCTCACGTCGCTTGTCGGATCCCCATCTTCACAGGCAAGTCCTCTGATCCTTCCAGTACTGCAATATGTGGCCGTTGAATCCATGCCGAATACCGGACTGGATAAGGCAACCTCGTTACTTCAAGGACGCAAGAAAGTATCGAATCGAACCCACTACGAAAGCTCTTAGATGGGCCACGTTGTGTTCCAAGATCTCAGAGACCTTTCTCGCCAGACTCCAGCCGAAACTTGTTTTCTGAACACCGCACGGAAAGTCAAAGTGAACGAAGCTTCTTAGACGAGTGATGAACTTGGCTAGCGGACGATTCACTGCCCTGGCCAAGTGGGCACATCTCCTTCCACTTTCTTTGAACAGTCCGCCAGGCTCTCAGCTTCCTTTACAAATGGGACAACCAGCCAAGTTCCCCACCCTCCACACGTCTAAAGTAAGTCAAGCTAAAGTCCTTCCACTTTCGAGTAACGAGATTTGTTCTCTGATGCAGACAACCAGTGGGGCAACAAGGACTCCATCGTGGGCCAAGGCTGCATTTACTGCCCCCAGAAGCCAGATGCCGGTTTCGTGACCATCACTACTGCTGACGTCGGCCTGGCGTTTGCCACGATCGCCAACGACGGCGTTGAGAAGCACGTGGGCAAGGCCTACTTTTTGTGCTGCCCGAAGTATACGTACAACGACCTCACCAAAGCGTTCAGCGATGCGCTGGGCAAGCCGGTCAACTACGTGCAGGTAAGGGGATCCCTTTCCAAAAAAACTCCTCTCGTGCATGTCCTAAAGCATCAGGGAAGGGGTAGGAGACAAATCCAACAATGTACTAGAGACATCGGGGTAGAAAACGATTTCTTCTTGTACCGATTACATCCATGAAGTACTGAGTTGAAAAAAGAAATCTGGGCTAGAAGTCGTTTGGGGAAGGGGCGGATCGATCGCGTGTCGTTCTGAGCAGCTCGATTGCATTATTTCCGAAGCATCAGGACCGGAATATCAATCTGAATGCGGAGTGACACCTTTGCAGGTCCCCTACGAAGTCGCCAGCCAGCAGATGCAGGGGTCCGGGTACCCGGGCTGGATCGTGAGTCTCGCTTCCTCAGTCTGCACCTTAGAGCAGGCAGCCATGTGTGGTTGAGAAGCGAAAAGGAGATTGTCGTTGGAGGTTCAATAATCAGTGCCCTCTTTCCCCTGCCGCTTGCCCTGCAGCTCTTGCGGATTGTATGCCTGACGTAGCGAACGCATTCGCTTGATGTGCTACGTGAGCGTGATTTTCTACTGCAACGATTTGAAAGCATTTGATGCCTTACGTGATTGATAGGGCCGGCTTTTCAAGTGCGTCAGAAGTATTCGTCAAGGTTGACCTTCTGTAGGTTTTAGAGATCCGCAAGCTGTACTGTCAGTTAGAGTTGAAATATTGACAAATACAAGTAAGGTGGCTTGATGGCCAGTGTCTACCCAGCTTGCATCCACCAACTTTCTCTAACCAGCCTCCGTTTGCCTGCCTGAAACCAGGCTGACGGAACCTGCGAGCTGATGAAGGGAATCGACGCTGAGGTACCGGACCTTGTGACGTACAGCGATGACTTTGAAACCATCGTTGGGCGGAAAGCGACGAGCATCCAGGAGTGGGTCAAGGCCTGTGCACCTGGGTTCAAAGCTTGAAGGATGGCGTTGGCAGAGCGTACGGCGCTGGATCCTTTTACCGTAGACTGACGCGGATTGGGACCTCGAGATCCGAATGGATTTCCAACTTTGATCGTTGTGATTTGCTTGTAACAGTGTACATGGGCGTGTCCTTTCAAATATAAGTTCGCCAGCACTAGCTGTGCCAGTTGAGGGACACATGCGAATGCGAGGATGCCGGGCGGAGCGCGGATCATGGAGCTAGACTGACTCATGGACCTTCGTTAATATCAGTGACGACAGCGGGCACCTGTAAAAGGGCATATCGGAGGAGATTTTGTACCCAAAAGCTGCGGCGCCTGCATCATGCAGCTATCAGATGATAATGTCAAATGATATAAAGAAAATGGTAGAGCGATCGACGGCGGCATGCTCGCGCGTCTCTTCACCATTGTGCGGCAGATTATATTGCAGCATGCCGCGACCACCGAAATGAATGACCATGCGCGTTAGAAAGTACCATCGGCCGCGGGCCCAGACATGCATTGCAGGATACTAACATGCGCTGATCATCCGAGCCCTAGCTATCCGATGATTAAGCAATCACATGAGTATGTCAGTAGCATATATGCACATGATTGCATGCCAAATGCATGTATCCCGCGTCAAATTCCGCGCCGAATGCATGTATCCCGACGGTATGGTGGATCTTTCATTGATCCAGAACTGAGCAGGCGGTTTGGGCGTTTTCAGGTTGGCCCAATGTTTGAGAAATGTCCGGCATAAGTCAGCTGTAAGTCGACCTCTTCATGCCGCAACACGTACAGCGATGTTCTTGCACGTCGACTCTTCCAAGGGATCGACCTCGTGTTTGGACTGGAGCTGCATCGCATACTAGTCAACAGCTGGTTGCATCCAATATGAGCTTTTCTGCTGCGCGCAATATGTATCATACATAGTCTATCCAATCATGGTCTAGTGCTTCCCATCAACAAACTGCGCGTTTGACTTGGCCTTGAACGTCTCCAAGAAGCTCTGCGCATCCGCCAGCTCAGCTTTCCGCTTCTTCTTGTCCCAGCCCAACTCCTGCCCCAGCAGCTCAACAACCCGCGGCAGCGCCCGCGCCGCCGCCGCCGTGTCTAAGAACGCAAGCCGCGATCTCCGGGCTATGAAATCCACCGCCGACGCGCAGTACTCATGCCGCGCGCAATACACCACCTCCGCTTCCAGGTCCGGGTACCCGTGCGCCAGCTTCTTCCCGAAGCTCTCCACCTGCGCGATGTACGCGACACGGTCCGCCCGGCCGCCGTAGCTATGCGTCAAGTGCTTCGCGACGGCCGTGTCCATCACCCCGGGCACCACTTTCCCGCTGTACGTCCGTTTCATGCGCACGTACTGCTGCGTCAAACTCGCGAACAGCGACGGGTCCCAGCCCTCCGCCCCCACCAACAGCAGATTCTCCGTCACGCACTTGGACTGCGGCGTCAGTTTCCCGGCGCGCACGGCGGCGTTCACGGCGTGCTCCGCCATTAACCGGTACGTCGTCCACTTGCCGCCGCTGACGCTGATGAGCCCGTCTTCGCCGACGGTGACCACGTGGTCGCGGACGATATCTTTGGTGTCCTTGGAGTCGGGGTTGGTGGCCAGCGGGCGCAGGCCGCTCCAGGCAGACAAAACGTCCTGCCTTCGGACCTGGTCCAGAGATTAGAATCTACCACGTTAAGGAAGACAGCCAAATTACGGCCGTTAAATCGGCAGGGTTGCAAGGTGCCGCAGGGAATCCGGCGGATAGCAAAGTAGCGATACCCGTGCACCAGCGGAATTGGTATATTTTCGTAAGGCATGACAGGGTAGAAGGAGTGGACAGAGCATCGACCCGACTCTGTTCGTTCAACATGTAAAAGCTCTCCTATGTCTTCTGCCTGTGAATCCACTTTCAGAGACGTCCCACAGAGGCGCAGTCAGAAACGAGAGACGGCCGCCTCGTGCTGGAGGAGCTCGCACTTTCCTCACTTTGGATTAACACACAAAACACCCTTCCAGCGACACAAAAAAACTCTTGCCCACGTTTGCGGGGAAAGGGTTCCCCGCAAACGGAAGGAGCCGAGCAAGAAGTCCGGGGCAATGAATCCGGATTAGGGATGAGGAACTCTAGTTTCTACCATCCTTGACTCAGCTACTGCTCCAATATAGGTCACAGAAACAGATCCAGATCACTGCAATTTGTTTTTTTCTCGGTCCTCGTAAGATGAACCCGAGACCGAGAGAGGTCTTCTCGCTCTCTGTCAAAAAGCCGGACGCCCTTTGACGCCACCACAGCTTGAAGAACAACGTGAAAGAAGACATTGTGTGACTCGAAATCTCAATGTTTTCCTTTTTTTAAAAAAGTCGTTTGGCGTATCACTAAGTTGTTCAGCAAAAAAGCCTTGATTCTGTTGGGGGGTTTTCAATTCCAGACTTTCCAGACTTTCCAAGAAGGTGAACTCACACCAGCCAGGCCGATAATACTCGTCGTCCTGAAGTCCCGTTTTCTTCTACCCAGGTCACTCACTCCATCGAGATGCTTCACTTGATTCTACTTAGAGCTTCCACGACACTCAGCGTTGAATTAATCAAGATCAAAAGGTGGAAGGGCCCTACAAAGTTCGACCCCGTTTCTAACTCTCGAAAGTCCAAGTGACTCAAGCTCCTCACCGGCACGCTTAGATACCCGTTGATCGCGTCCAGAATGAAGCTGATCTCGTCCTCGTGCGGCTCCGGCCGCTGCGTCGGGGGCGCCTCCGCATCCGTTGTCCCCGCAATCGTTTTCCCCAACCATGGCAGCATAAACACCACTCTTCCGTCCTTGGTCTTGGGGACAATCAACCCGGTTGAGTCCGGCGAAAAGTAATCCGGCAGCACCACATGCACCCCACTGCTCGTGGTTACCATAGGCCGCGCCTCCCCGTCCGACATCTTGCGTATCGAGTCGCAGAACGGCCCGGTGGCGTTTATTACAACCTTTGCGTGCACGTCAAATGTTTGGCTCGAGACTGCATCCCGCACCCTGGCCCCCGTCACCTGGCCCGTCGTCTCGTCTTTATTCAGTCCCACCACCTCGGCGTGGTTCAACACCGCGGCGCCCGCTAGCGCCGCCGTGCACGCGAGCGAGACGTTGAGCCGCGCGTCGTTCATCTGGCCGTCGAAGTAAACCACCGTGCCCTTTAGGCTGCGCCCGTCGGGACTCGAAGCCGCCAGCGTCGGAAACATCTCGCGGGACTCGCTGGCGCTGTGGAAGCGGGAGAGGTGCAGGACGCGGCTCCAGGCAATCAGGTCGTATAGCTTCATGCCCGCGTAGTAGTAAGGAATCTCCCACCACGAGTAGCAGGGCATCATGGTGGGGAGGGGGGCGGTCAGATGGGGGGCGTTTTGGAGGATGGTGGCGCGCTCTTTCAGGGCCTCGTACACGAGTTTCAGCTGGCCGGGGTCGGCGTTCTTGACGGCTTTCTCCAGGTAGCGCACGCCGCCGTGGACCAGCTTAGTGCTCCGAGAGGATGTGCCGGCTGGGAGATGGGAAACGGGCTTCTTTAATATGAATTCAATCCAAGAAACATCGCACGGAGGATACGAGTATTAGCTGATATAAATGATGGACAGGAGTGGTGAAGAAGACCTGATCAAAGGAAAGGAAGACCTGATCAAAAACAAGGTCCTGCATACGAGAATCGCCCCAAAAAGACGAAGGCGGTGGTTCAGGTTTGGGGCACCTGGATTATCTGGCGTGAGACAAGAAAAACTTTCACTTCTGGAACCCATGTATTTGAATGAAGCACTTAGATAGATCAAAAGATCTAACACCAATCAGATGCAACACTCTGCTGTCAACAACAACATAAGGAAGCCTCTCACAAACTGCAACGTTCGTACAGAGGTGAGAGTTCTCTGGCTCCACGCGGGGTGGAATCTGGCACATCATACCTGCAAAGTCCTCTCGTTCCACAAGGGCTGTTCGCAGGCCTCTGGTAGCGGCATCAACAGCTATCCCACAACCAGTGGCTCCGCCACCAATGACAAGAATGTCGAATTGACTGTAGAGACACAGCACAATAAGTTATTTCATTGATGTGGGCGGACCTTGAAGAAAAGGTCGTCTTTTTTTTATAGAGCTGGTTCTGTTGAGCACTTATCAGAATCTGCCTTGATTCTCCTTCACCCTGTTTCCACTTTTTAAAAACAGGCGTGCAAACCAGCTCAGCTACAGGATCCATTGAGAGAAGCAGCGGACACCCTTATGTCCCATAAGAATGAGGCCACTCATCTGCAATGGTCAGTCACAACCAGTGCATCACAACTTCTGTCAGTTACAAGACCTCCACCATAATGCTGTTTACCTGAAATCTAACAAGCAAGCAGTTGTCACATAAACCTGAAAGTTTGTCTCAAGCTGGTGTCCCTGTGATGTCCACCTAGCTTGGTCCTTTAGGGCCCCATAATCACTCAACAACCACTAGGACCGTATCAGAATAAGAGGATCACTTACTGATGATACAGCGAATCACATACAAGGAAGAGGGCCACATGAGTCAGATCAGAGCTCTTGCACAATCACAGCAAATCCAGAGTGCTGCCACTGACCTGACTGGGCTGCTCCCTTTGAGGACTCCCAATTGTGTGGCTCTTGGGGGGACCTCATCTGAGAAACTGGCGGCCCCAGCATCACTAAATGCTGCATTACGAGCTTGGACAGCATACAAGGTCCCCACCGCTGCAGTTGCGGTCAAGGCCAGGGCCCGCAGTCCTCTGCGAGTCATGCTGTCCGATCACGCCCAATTGCAACTCTCTTTCTGCTGCATAAAAGAACAACCGGGAATTGCAGATAACACGAAGGAACAACTTGCCACCAATCAGTGCATCCCTGGGTCGATTGCCAGTTCTTTTTTCAACCTTTTCTTCCGCCTTCCCACAGCGCCTCAAGAAATTTTACAGTTGCACTGATCAACCAGGTAAAACAGAAGGCTGAAGCAGCTGAGGAGCATCTTGATTCCAAGGGATGACTCAGCACAACCAGATTAGGGTTTGTGCAAAAGGTGTTACCGGCATCATGAGATCACAGCCGTCCACTATCCATTACCGCCCTTCAAATCACCAGTGACCGCCGATGAGATTCCCCCATGGCCAGCCGCCGTCTAGCCTGCGGGCGAGACATCTTGTTAGCTCGGTTTACTGACAGAACGGAGGGAAGGAGAACGTGGACTGCAGTTTGCAGTCCGAGACCCCCACACCGCTTGATACTCAGTGCGCGAGCACCGGGTCTGGGAACGTCACCGCCGGCGAGGTTTGACATGCCGGATCGCTGGCGACCCAACATTGGGGTCTTTCAAAGGTCCGGAAATGCACACTCCGTGCATGAGTCTTTTTTTAAGGGACCAGATTGCAAGTTCGACCAATCTGGGGCCTTACCACCGTAGATGGCG